GTAATATTCTTGCTTGATTTAACTGGCGACGACATATTTATTAAACAAATATTTAGAATCTAGTTAGGTTAAGCAACTATATTACAATGTACAACTAAAATTACTAATAAAAATATTAGCAAGGCCTCACCTTAATATCAAAAAATAAAAATAAAAAAAATAATAATAATAGAATAATTAAGTGATATTAGACTTAAGTATTAAGAAATTTTATATAATTATATATATATTAAATTTCAAGAATTTTTTAATAAAGTATTAATGTAACTGTTATTAAAAAAAAATAAAAAATAAAAAATATGTATGTTATTTTAATATAACTGTATAACAAATAATAAATTTGAATATAAATTAATATAAAAAATAAAATTTTGATATTTTGAACTGTACTTCAACAGTAGCTTAGTAATTTTATATAAATTTATTAAGAAAAAACTAACAGTACTTTAACAGTAACTTGTTCAAAATTTGCTAATTATTATTATTATTATTATTATTATTATTATTATTATTATTATTATATATACATTACATTTTAATAATAATAGTTGAAATTTTCATTATCTTCTGAGATCATCAATATCTAACCTGCTTTATATTTACTAAAATAATTAGCAAATCTACAAGTTTAATTTATCACAAAAAATGTCAAAATACATTTAGTATATAGCACTTAACAAACCTAATTTGCTTTATTAAGTAGGATCTTGCATTGCACTAAGATAATATAATTACTAATTATTAGATTTCTTTTTTAGCAGGTCTTTAGATCTAGTGAATTAAGCAACATAAGACCTTGCTTATGCTTTATATAAATAAGTAGTTTCAGCTTTTAAGATAGATGGTAGTAACATTATTTTTTGCTCATGTATATTTTTACTTGATTCACTTACCTATGAAAATAACTTTTTTACTTACTATTTGCTATAATTTGTTGTATTTTGACACAAAAAATAAGCACTAATGATACCACCACTCCAAGACTAATGAACCCAATATCGCTAAGACTAATGATCCTGAAGCACCAAAAATCAAGACTATATATATAATCTTATGTAAATATATATTTGTAAGCTTACTATATTATTTTTTTAAAATTAAAATTTTTAATAGAAATAATGTTAAATAGTTTAATAAACTAAGTTCAAGCCATCTTTTTTATTTTACCACTTGGGATGACTAATATCAATTTTTGGCTTCATAAATATGACACCAAGCTGGGTGATTATAGAAATATGCATTCAAATGATAGGGTCTATAACCACTTTACTAGAAATCCCAAACAAAATATTATTCATATACTCATAGAGCTACTACTATGATTGAAATTTTTTTTACTTGTATATTGTCATTCTGGCAATAATAATTTTTATAAATAAAGAAGAAGGTCCACTGGGTTCTATTTTTTTTGTATTTTAACACAATTTTTTTATGAAATAGAGTTCATCTAATAATGTTTTTCCTTCAAAGCTATGCATATTCAATATATACTAAAAAATAATCTTTTAATTCTCTGTTATAAATTTTTCAATAAGCACAATAATGAAAATATTAATAAATTTGTTTTGTGAGCATTGATATCCCTAATTTTTTATTTCAGTATTTCAAAAAAAAAATTCACAATATCTATTTATTTTATATTATATGTACATAGCATATAAGTAGAATTCATTTTTTGTTAATATGCACTAATTAAAATAATCTGATTTTTTATAAACTATACCACTACTATAGCTTGCATATTCTTCACTAGAAAATGTTAGTTATTTCATTTGTCTTACATGTTATCATGATGATTATAAATTACTGTACATGTAACACGGAGCCCATCATGCATTAAAATCAACATTATTGACCTGCTATAATGTGATTTTGTTATATTGTATAATATATAAAAGTAATATTTCATCTACAGTTAAATTGTGAAAATTGCATCTTGCAATCTCCATAAATCTATAGTAAAGTTATCAGATACACTTTTAATTCTGGCAATACTGTTAAAAAGTAAGTTGGTAGAGATGGCTAGCTGATATTTACCAATATTAGCACCATCACAAGGTGCCTTTTCAAACCTGACACTAGTGATAACTTCATTCTGTATGATATTTTGAAGATATATTTGTGAATGGTTAGAGAAAGGTGCTGTTTTAAATGATTTAACAACTATATGTGTTGTAGAATTTTGATTGCTATATAAGTAAAGCACTGCAAGAAGTGCAAAAGTATTATTCTGATAAGATGAGTACAATTTGATAGCTAAATAAATTTGGATAGTAGTCTATTAAGAAAAATATTTTTCTGAATATTAGGATGATAGGCACTTCTTGTATTCACAATAACATCTATTTTATTAATAACTCACAATTGATCACTTTAATTATACATAATAGCAAGTAACTTTGCTTATACCAATCTGTGAAGATCAATAGGCATTTCATAAACTTTAATGTTACTATCGACTAAATGGTATTTAACAGAGATTCTTGGTTCATTTTTGCAAAACTCAATATAAAGTCTAAGCGATACTTCTTTGTCAATAATGATTCACTTTCATTTTACTTTCTCAAATCCTTCTTGTTATTTGATAGCAAGAAGCTTATATCTTGCTAAACCAAATGCCAAGAACCATTTAGAGAATAATTCATTTTGCAATAAGGGAGGCATAGTATTTGAATGATATAAATAATGATTATTTGTTGAAGAAAAAAATTCAATTGCTGAAAGCTAATTTAAATTAATTTGTTATGTAATTGACTATGAAATAGGTCAAACAGGTCAAACTCATTTTGGTCATGTATGTTTGACAAGTGAAAATGTTTGGTAGTTAATTTCCCAGTCTAACACTTATTAAAGTTTTTTTGGATCCTTTTTGAAATAACAATTTCTGGATTCTTATTATACCATACTATGAGTAGAAAAATTCTAGATGATCATGATTAACAATATCTTTGAGTTTTTTAACATCTTTTATATCAGCTAGTATTATGAAACCAGTGCTAACTTCCTTGAACTTCTAATGCAATTTGATATTTTTAGAAAAAGACATCAAATTCTAATATGGATCTGAAGTGTATTCATAAGAAGACAAACATGTGATTAGTTAATTACATCAATCTATGCATAATTACTGACTAATCAAATTTATCAAAAAATTTTTGGCAGGCTAACCTTTTTTTTTTTTTTTACTATTTTAAAAAATTTTTAGTTCTTATTACTTTTAAAATACACAAATTATATAACATTGCTGATATTTATATATTAGGCCCAAATATATATAGAACAAGTAAATTGCAGAATTATAAAGAAGATGAATTACGATTAGGTTATGTTAAGATCAAAGACTCATGACATATGTAAAAAAATTATATAATATATTTTTAATAATTTAATTCAATTATTATAAAACGCATCTATAGTGTTTTGTACTTATTATATGTTTTTATTTTGTTTTTTAATTTTCCAAGTTTTTATAAGTTTTGTTATAAAAATTTTTGACTAAATTTTTTTGCATTAGGATTAGTTTTTAAGTTAGTATTAGGGTTTGTAAAGGGTTTTTAAAGATATAGAACATTTTTACTTAGAATATCTCATACTGATTAATTAGTCAGTTTTTGAGATAATGCATACATAGGTGTAAAACACTATAAATACATTTTAGTAAATTTATTTAATTTAACATACATCAAATAAAATAAAATAATTTAAAAATTATATATAAAATTTTTCAATAATATAATAAGTAAAAATTTTGTAACACTTTTTTTAATTCAGATGTTGAATATTTTATTGACCTATATATACTATTTTTATTATTATATAGAAAACTATTATTGTGTTTCTTGACTTATTTTTTAAATGCTTTTAATTCTAAAATTCAATAATGATTGATCTTGTTTATCAATATCTTCTTGTAAAAATGCAAAACAATATAAAAATTTAGATCTATTATTCATATAACAAGACTTGTATTATGTATAATTACAAGTTAAGACTATAATCATATCTGTATTATTAATAAACAAAAGAACAAAAAAATAATTAAATATATTATAATAATAAAAAAGAAATACTTTTTTTAAAAGATAAATTCAAATTGGTCTGTAATTAATATATTAATAAAACTCTATAGTAAAATAATTACATATAAAACATTACAAAAAAACATTTTTTTTAGTTAAAATTGTAATATTATATTCTAAATATTTATAAGTTACTTACACTAATATATATATATAATTTTTATTAAAACTATATATTATTATTTATATTTAATTAGTTAATATAATAATTATATTTGATAATTTGTTATGTTTTAATATGTTTTTGTATACTTGGTATAAAAGATTATAAAATATTTTAATAATTAAATCAAAAAATTTGGGTAGCTCTGTCTTTAGTGTTTCTAAGATTGAATAATTATTTAATTTCTAGTAAAAGACATCAAAAAGATATATTAATGATGCTTTTTGAATAATTTTTATAACTGAATTGAAAAAATATTATTAAAATATAAAAATAAGATTTAAAATAAGTATTAAAATTATTAAATTAAAAAAAATATAGCATAAATATCTAAAATAAGAAGAATTATATTATTAAGTACAAGATATTTAATATTTTTATATAAAGATCCAAATTTTATTTTAATAGTTATAAATATTTTTTGTTATATATTATAAAAAATTTCTAAAAGAAAATTAATGTTATAACTTAAAATTTTATACAAAAGATTTCTGTTTTTTAAAAATATAATAATACATTAAAAAAAAAAAGGTAATATTAAAAAAATACTAATTTTAGACATTTAGCAAAATATATAATAGAAAAAAAATATTATAAGTATATTTAATATACTATGATAATATAAATGATATCAATAACTGTTTAAAGATGAATCTGTCTAGACTAATTAGATACAAAAAGAATAATATTTTTTTTATATATTACTATATAAATAAAATTTCTATAATTATATTAATTGCTTTAATATATTTTTTTATTATATAAAGATTATTTTTTTGCAAATTAACAAGAACAACTTTTTTATTAAATAAACATGATGCTTTTTCTTTAATCTAATATTATAAAAATGTATAGTTAATTTATCTAACTATATATTATAATTAACTGTATAAAATTCTTAATATTTATTATATAAAATACTATAAAATACTATAAACTATAAAATACTATAAATTTAATTTTTATATTTGTTTTAATTAATTTAGTATCAAAAAATATAAGATTATACAAGTTTATTTTTAGAATTGCAGATTAAGTAATAATCAAATTTATAAAAATTGTTGCTAAGTGCATAGCAGTAGATATTGTAATATTGTTTAAAATAATATATTTTGTATAAATACTATAATAATTATTAATATTCAACATTATTGTCTTATTAGCATATTTAATAAGCTTAGAATTAACAATTATTACATGTTCTTTAGATACAGAATTCTTAATTTATATAACTATACAAAATATAGTAATAATATCTAAATCTGAAAATGTGTTTATAAAAACATTAAAAATATCTATTAAATCTATATACATTACTAAATCTCTTTTAATTTTAGTAATAAACCTATTTTGAATCTTATATAAAAAATAACATAAAATAAAAATTATTTTATCTTTAATTATGATTCTTTATATTTAAATATAAATTAACTGACAAATACAGTTCCTTAAAAAAAATCATAATTATGCATTTTCTTCTTTTATAACTACTCAAAATTTATCAAATAAATATATTATTAGTTTATTTTTTTTTTATAAATATATAGAATATTTATTATAATTTTTACTACTTTAGAAAAAAGCAAAAGATTATTTTCAACTTCATTAGTCTTAGCAGCTTCAGATTACTTTTTATAATTAACATTCTTAACCTCAAGAATCTCAATTTCAGATTATTAAGTATTTGCTTAAGCATGCTATTAAAAAACTAATAAATAATTTATTACAATTCCATTGTAGCAGTTTAGACAAAGCATGTCATTTAGTTTTATATAATCTGACAAAGTTTTATTAGTTTTGCCTTTGAAAATAACATATTCAATTACCTTTTTCAACTTTTCTAATTGCTAACTGGCAAAATGTAATAATATACTTAGTTATCTTTGCTTCTATGTAAAGTTCTTTATTTTTGAACTTATTACAATATTAGAGATTATTTTGCATAGTAAAGAACAACACTTTTTTAAAACTAATTATAAAGAAAAATTTTATCTTTTATATGTAAAATAAAGAAACGTTACAGTTTGAAAAAGTACTTTAAACTGTATACTCAGGTAATTGATTCGGGTCAGCCAATCAGAAGCTTGTACTCCTATGAGAAGCGTATATACACTATCGCTATTACAATTGTTACACTCATAATCTCTCGAATTTCATTAGTTGTCACATACGTAGAAGTGCTCGCTACACTTCAAACAATGACATCTCGATTATATTTTAATGATTGATAGATTATGTGACCAAACTTAGATTATCCGGCACGTACAGAGATATGTTTGGGCGCTTTTTTTATTATTATCAAAAAAAAAAAAAAAAGAATTTTTTTTTTAATACGTACTTTCGTAATACTGTATTTTATTAAATTTTCAATGGGATAATAGATTTGTACCCCATAAAGTGAATTAACTAAAACAAGGTTTACATTTGATTCATTGCCTATGTATAGTATTTCATATGGTATGATCGAAGATTTTGTACGTACGTAATATATTAATAATAACAGATAACAGATAACAATAATACGTTATTTTTACGTAACGCTTTTAATCTATAATGTTTAACAGTGAGACCATAATAGTCAAGGCTTCGTGTAACAATGGTTCTCTCTTCTAACCTCTTTTAACAATCTCATTATTGGGTTTGTACTACCTGTAAAAAAGTAAAGATAAGTAGTTTTTTCAATAATGATAAGTTAAATACTGTATGTATACCATAAGTGTACAAAAATTTGAATTTTTTTAAAATAGAATTTTTATCGCTTATCTTTAATAAATAAATTTAATTATAATGAATTCAGTTTGAGTTATGAACCTAGAACTGAATTGAATCAATAGGGACTTATTTAAATTAAGATCAAAAAAAGAAAGTGTACATAATAACTGTTATACAAGATGGTAAAAAACCAAAAAAAAAAAAAAGTGAATGAATTGGAATGAAAAATTGAATAAGCATTAATCTAATTAATGAATAAGAAAATTAATGTATAAGAAAATTAATAAATACGCAAAATCAATTAAATAAAAGAAAAAAAAAAAAAGTCTAATAAATAAAAATTGTTATAGTGAAGAACCATCTGCTATGATTATGATGCTTGACATAATTGTTTAACACTGTCTGGAACGGTTAATTGTTTTAAATCATTGAGTCGTTCAACAAGTGTTGCAACCATACCCATTTCAACATGCCATTCTATGTGACAATGTACTGCCCATATACCTGGATTGTCAGCTACAAAACGTATTGCTAACCATCTATTTTTAATGTTGTAAAGGAATTTAGTTAGAAAAGATGATAATATAAAAGAAGAAACTTTTAATCATCTAAAGTATAGATGATAATTCAGAAAAATTAGAAAAAGTTTAATAATTTACCCAGCTGGTGGTATTGTTACGGTATCACGATATGGTGGATTAATTAAATTATAAGTGCTTTGATCTGGTGTAGTGCCATTACCTCTTCCCACAACGTAGAAAGAGTGACCGTGCTATATAAATTGAAATTATAAAGTTATAAATAAAATATAAATAAAAAAATATTATTAATAATATAAACGATAACTATAGATCTACTATAGACGATAATAAATAAATAAATCAAAATGTATACCAGATGGAAAGGATGAATATCATGAACATTGTTAACGAAAACCAATTCAATACCAGCATTAGCAGTATCATAAGAGATTATATTCTGATTTGCAGGTAAACTTTGTGGACTAACCCCACCCGAAGTTACTTGCATTAATGTAGCATTATTAAAGTTTGCTTCAAAACTATTGCCATTAATAAAGAATACTCCAAGGCCTTGTGAATTTGGAGCATAAGTAATATTTAAAATGTGTTGAGTGGCATTTTGTGGAGGAGGATTAGCAACAACTGGTATTAAACTAGAATCCGGAACATCATCACAGGTGAGTGGAGCAGTATCAGGGAAATCTTGAGAAGTTGGAGTGGTATTATTAGCACCTTCATAACGTAATATTCCGGTAGCATTCCAATTAATGGAAGAATCGTAATTTATAGTTGATGCATTTACTTTGAATTGACAAGCTTGGGTAACACTAGCTCGAATAAAATAGTTTCCAACAGGTTGAGTAGCATTTATTACTACAGAATAACGCTGTGCAATATTAATTGAAAGTTTTTCGACTGTAACTGGTTTGATGCTAAAAAAAAAACAAAAAAAAAAAAAAAGGGGGAATGAAGTTAATAGAATGAAATAGAAGGAAATTTTTTAAGTTAAAAAAAAAACGGGATGAATGTTTACTTTGTTCCATCAACTTCAATAAGAGACAACTGATGGTTATCAATCGAGAAATGGAAGTGACTATCCGCACTTGTATTAATTATACGGAAACGGTATCTTTTACCGCTTTGGACTACATAGGTTGCAGGAGTCACCGAGGTGCATGTTTTGCCTTTGGAGGATGCAACGGTACAATCATACTGACCATAACCACTAATAAGGACAGCATCAGGAACGGGCTATTGATTGATATAATATATAAGTGTATAATTATGTATATATATATATGTATGTATATAATTATGTATATATATGTATGTATAATGTACGTTGAAACTATTTAACATTAAATATGACCATTTTTATAAATCAAGCCAAGATCACATGATACATGATTAATACATACATTAACACCTCGATAAGTTGGAGCCATTTTGACAGCCAATATGTCTTTAGTAGTATTATGATACCATTCATTTAAAGTAATAACATATTCAGAATCGTATAGATTCCCATGAGGATCAGCTGGGTCTTGAACGATAATCGGACCAAATAATCCGTCAACATACTAAGAATTTAAGGGGGGAGTATTATTAGCATATATATATAAATAGACACAGATATATTATATATATAGACACATATATATTATATAATATATTATACAATATATATATATATATTATATAATATATTATACAATATATATATATCGGTAAGTGAAAAGCATTTTAACTGGTAATTAGCAGACCATATAAAGTGCAAATACAGCATTCAATATAATCTAGTCTTCACTTTAATACTTAATTCAGAAAAAGAAAAAAGACGCATACCTGCGCTATGAAATGAGAATGATACCAATATGTTCCAGAGTCGACAACAGTAAAATTATATATGAAATTAGCTCCATTAGGTATTGGACACTGTGTAATTCCAGGAACACTGTTAAGTTTCAAATATGGTGGTTAAACATCATATTTTGACGACTTACTTGTCAGAAAAAAAAAAAAGAAAAGCAAAAATTTTTTTGATTACTTACCCATCATACCAATTAGTATTCCTTTGAACAATTCCATGAGAATGAATTGAAGATGGTTCTCCTAATTGATTTGTTACATTTAAAATGATCTGATCTCCCACATTGGCGACAACCATTGGCCCAGGATACTGGCCTAATGTTAAAAAAAAAAAAAAGGCTTTGTTAATATTAAATGCCTAAATTAGAGATTGATTTTTTTTACATGATTGATTTACCATTAACAGTCCAAACCGTGCGAGGAACACCATCTGGTGAAAGCGTAGTTTGATTTAAAATAAAATCATATATATGAACAGAAGAAGTTGTAGGCGGGGGAGGCAATGGGGAGAATATATTTGTATTAATTGGAGTTCTCTTTTCAAGACTTCGTATTGTAGGAGCTGCTATTACTAATGAAATTGTACATAGTACAATATAGAGAACTAAAACCTTCTTTATAATATACATTTTTAATAATAATTTTTAAAATATTATATAAGTTTTTTTTTAAAAACGGCAAAAATAAATGCGTTTTTTAAAAACGGCAAAAATAAATGCGTTTTTAAAAACGGCAAAGTTTTTGTTATTTTTTAAAGACATCGCGCTCATGTGTCTTTTATATATCTTTAAACAATGGTTGCATTTTCCCTTAAAATGAATTTTGTGCAAAGTTAAATGCTATGCTGTAACTACGTTTTATTTTTATTACTTAAGGAATTATTGAAAAAAAATATATATATATTGTTTACCCGTTATTAAGAAGAAAGAATTAGCGTGGGTAACACCGAGTTTAATGCTACAAATTCTAAATATAAAAATAAAAATACACAAAAAACATTTCACTAATTAATTATTATTTTAAACCGACCGAAATTTGGTAGTTGATCTACACACACTGAGAGACCGAATCTAAATAGAGTTACATCTATTCTTTATTTTATACAGATCTATGCGTTAATATGCATAAAACTACATTTTTAGGTTTTCTCCTAAACGAATTTATTAAAAGGTTTGCATATGTTTGGTATAGTGTTTGGCATAGTGATAGTAAGAGAACAATACAATACGGTTGACAAGAGAATCAATCTTTACTAATTTTGCAGATGATTTAATTAAAAATAATAGAAAAAAAAAAAAAAGTAAAAAAAGTGGAAAGGGAGTTTAGAATTTAACAACTCCTGTATTTTGGGCTGAAATGGTCTAATTTAGAAAATAAACTTTTATTAATTTATTTCCAGTTAATACTATCAGTAGTATCAGTATATAATATCAGATATAATATCAGTATATAATATATAATATCAGTATTACCAGGTTGCTGCTCCGGTGATCATGTGATAGTCTGGAATGAATATACGGAAATTTTATTAAGCAAATAGTTAATTTTACATATTTCTTTTTCATTGGTTATGTACTTCGCGCAAATATTACGCAACCCGAAAATGTGTACCAAGTTGCTGCTCCGGTGCTCATGTGATAGTCCGGCATGAATATCCGGAAATTTTATTTAGCACATAGTTAATTTTACATATTTCTTTTTCATTAGTTATGTACTTCGCGCAAATATTACAACACATGACGTTTAAAA